AAGATGAGAAAAGAAAGCTTACCGCTTGAATTATCCACCGCAGGCTTCTGAAATTTGCGTCCATTATTGACATTGTGGTAAGGCTCTGCAGGTTGGACAGTACCATTTTCCTTTAAATCTGGTTTCTGGAGTTAGTCCCACGCAGGAATAATGAAACCATTCACCTCCTTGACACTGTCAATGGCATAATAGTAGAAGAAAAAGGTAAATATTATCATTAAAATGAAGCACTTGTATCGTAAAAGTGTGGTAAATACGTAATAGAACTCATGTACTAATCTCATCCCACGGGTAACTTCTCATACTTCATCAGGTCATCTGTGGTAAATACGTAATTCGGTACAATTTGGTTTTCTGAATGTAGTTGGCTGTTCAAAGTCCAAACAAGCCAGAGGCCGCCCTTTCTAACCCACAAGCAATGGTTTCCGGAATCTCAAAGATCAAAATGGAAGTTTATATCAAAGCTGTGCTTCTTTCAATGTAGGCTCATGCATACGCACACTCATATTGAAAAAGACCAGCTATAATGTATGCGGAGCCATGAGGTCTCACATGACAAGCATTATCCACAAATTCATTTCTACAAACTAGAGTGCTTACTCTTACCGTACAGGAAAACTTTCTTCTTAGAGATGCAATCATGTCAAAGAAACGTAATAGAGAAACAAACAACAAAACGAAGAGGGTGTGAAGAATCAATAACATCGCAACAAGGGAGGACTTACATTTTCATTGTCACAAGCAATCATATCTCCAAATGACACCTAAAAGAACAGATAATTAGATGGCAACAGTATATATGTTAGTAACCAGCAATTGAGTCCGAGGAATTGAGAAACTTAAGACTGTTTGTACGTCTGGGAAAAGAAATATAAGGATCATAGCCTTCTCTCTATATTAAATCTATATATTTTTCCTCCCTCACTAACTTCCCTCTTTATTTATAGCCCCCCTCGCAGTTAACAATTCACTCTAACCAACTCTAGTTATCTCATCTACCCACTAACTAAGCCATCCTCATACCTAGCACTACCCACCAACAAAAGTAACACATCGAGTAGAGTGATATTGGCGTTCCATTGCACAAGCTCCATCAAACAAAAGCTGAAGGGGGAAGAAGATAATGATAAAGACGTAGAACACTCTCCGCTTTCTGTTTTCCCTAGTTCTTCACCTTGCAAACTAATTTTTGTTCCTTTTGCTTTGCTTTTTTTGTTCCTATTTCTTAACTCTATGGTTTCTCACACCACTCAAGGTACATTTAGCCAACTGACTATCTCGTATACCCACTAACTAACCATCATATTATTCCAAATACCTAATAATTTTTTTTCGTGTGAAACAACACCAAATAAAATTTTGGCAAGCATAAACATATAAATGTAACAATGAAAGAGTCATTTGATAAAATAGGTTCAATTTTCAAGGTGAGGCATGTATGAATTCAAAATCAGAACCTGATGACAGATGCAATATGTAGGTTCATTTGGATCAATGGGCTGATCAACATCAAGTGAAGGTGCAAAATCCTTTTTATGGCTTCCTGGAGGAGGCATGAGCTCAAAATCTCGATCACGCTCCCTATCCCAATCCCGATCCCTGTAATCTGGCCTCTTAGATTGAGGTGCAATATATATTGGTTTGCGCTTTTCATTCTTCAAAACTAGTGGCAGTGGAGGGAGAGCTGCTGGTTCATCTGGTGAAATTTTTCCCTCTGAAAAATAGTAAAAGGTTCAGTAATCTCCAAACAGACAAACTGAATGGAAGGAAAAGGTAAGCAATTCATTAAAGCATCCAACAGCCCATAATTAGTTTGTTTGATTCAATTATCACAAATGGCTTTGAGGTCTACTAATAATTTGCTGACATTCAATTCTTTAGATGATAAAGCAATTAAGCTTCATGTGTAACATCATTAACTCAAGTTCGTAAAACGACTTGCATTTCATAGAGATGACGAAGCTTCTAAGCCTGTGTACCTTGTTTCAGATCTTCTGCAAAGTTGTTTAGATCCTCATCAAGTCGTTTAATATGGCTATCAATCTGGAAAAGTAAAAGGACATGAAACCCTGTAAGATCAGCCAAGAAAATATATAATAAAATACCTATGGCATGTAGCCACTTCATGAATAAAAGTACTGACGTTCATTTCAGTACAACACTTCGAATGTAAACGGTTAGCTGAAAAATGAATAAAAACATTTGTAACATTTATACTATTATACTTGCAAAGAATCTCTTTGTATGAAATTTATACCAATTCAATTTTTAACAGCATCTCAGGTCAATTATTGCATCCCTCCTAGACTGATTAGATTTTTTTAAAAAATAACAATGACTCGTCGTAAAATAATTAACGATTACCACATTCATACCTTCTCTGAAGACAATCTTGCAATTCAAGGTTGTTCATAAACAAGATAGGCGAAAGAATGAATGAGAAATGTAGCAGAGGGATGAGAAAAATTCACTCCATAGTATTGGAGAAACGAACAGCAATAGAACCAGGTAATCCTCAAAGCATGAAAAGAGGGAAAATATATATATATATATATATATATATATATATCAAAGAGAGAAAGAGCGCCATACCAGGTCGCATGCTTGACGTGCCAACAAAACCTTTTCAGTACACAAACTCAACGCGTTATCCTGATTCGCCTCAATATCCTTCCGCTGTTTTTCAAACGCAGACTCCTCATCCTCAGTACTACTATTATTATAGCCTTTCTTCGAACTCAGGCAGTATTTCGTCTGCTGCCGCGTCTGGTCAATCATCGCTACAACCAAAAGAAAATTCCATAAAACTTGAGAGCAACGAATCGCAGCAATCGATCTACACAGTGAGCAAATCAGAAAACGAGGGTTTTACACTGGGAGCGATCGTCGAGTTCTCTGATTGTATTGAGAAGCCTCTGAAGATCAGCAGGAAATGTACTGGCATCTACGAAGATCAAAACGAAACAAAAGTAGCAGCAAATTGGAAGCGAAAAAAAAAAGGGGGGAAACGGCGGAAAACGAAAAGGAAACGTACATTCCAGATAATCGTCGACGTAGACTCCAGTTCGAGCAATCGCCATGATTGAAGTAGAGAGGAGCTCTCAGAAAGCGCTGGGTTCTAGGGCTTGATCGAGGATTGTCTCCCTCCAAGTCGTTTTCGTTTTGCCCTTGGCGCCCACTCTTGTGTCCCCTTCTTTGTTTTGGATTTTCTGAAAATTTGAAACAGCGTTTCGTTCTGATTTTGTGAAGGAGAGAGGACAGAGAAACGACGTCGTACTCAAGTTTAGTTAATTTTACAAATTTCAACCGGCCATTTTATTTAAAAAATACTCTTAAAAACTTTTAAAATTTCGAAATATAAATTTTAAAAATATTCTTTACACTTTCAAAAAAAAAAAATTATAAAATACCGATGAAAACAGTTAATATTTTATTTAAAAAATACTGACCTTCAAATGTGTTTCAAAAATATTATTAAATTCCAAAATTTTAATTAATACTCTTAATTTTTTTAATAAGAATTTTTTTGAAATTTTTTTAAAAGGGTAATTGTGTTAATTCTATTTATAAATTTTTATATGTATTTTTTAAATATAGTCTTAAAGATATTTTTGATCTTTTAAAAAATTTGAAAGGTATTAGTACTATTTATTTAAAAAAAATACTCTTTAATTTCAAAAAATTTAATTAATACTTTTTAATATATATTAGAGTTAATATCATGCTTATAAAAATTACTTATGAAAATTAAAAAGTAACATTAATATTATAACATTTTTTAAAAAAATTTTAAAAAAATTTACTGTCAATATTTAAACGAAATTGACTTTTTTTTTTTTTTTATATAAATTTATGGTTAATAATAATAATTTTTAGAATTGAATAGTATTTTTTAAACATGGTACTAGTAGTTTCATCATGTACCGATGATAACAGTGTTTTTTAACATACTATGAGATGTTTATGTCGGACCTTGTTGTAACTTCCATGTCATATGATGCATAATACATCTATATGATGTGACATGGTTGATTATGTAATATTGTTAAACCACGTATGTATTCATGAAAGTTATGTTTATGAAATAACAAATGTATGACTTGCATCATACGCTTATGTCATATTTAAAGCTTATGTGGACTTTATGTATATTTATATGTCTCGTGCATTAGGATATTCTCTATTAAGACGAGTACGAATGCGTACATTACGATATTTATGTATGTCATGATATTATGCAGATTCATTTTCCTTCGGGACTTGGTAGCGTGAGCATATTCTAGCTGAACGGCGTGCCTAAGGGGTCCGTATATAGTCACCTGATGAGTCCATGTACGCATACGTGGGCCGTTTTACTTGCTTTGATGTTGTTTATGGGTCCGATACAACTCAAACCTCCCATGTACATTATGATATTTATGCATGTCATGATATCATGTGGATTCCTTTTTCTCCGTGACACGGTAGCGTGAGCGTATTTAGCTTAAGGGCACGCCTATGAGGTACTTATATAGTCACCTGATGGGTCCACGTGCGCTTATGTGGGTCGTTTTACTTGCTTTGATGTTGTTTATGGGTCTGATACAACTCAAACCTCCAACCTGTTCTTGAGAAAAAATGTTTTAGAAAACGGACAAACAAAATAAGAAACACCCGTGTAATTCTGGGTATGAAGAATTGACGACTAGTCACGTCTCTTTATAGTACATTTCAAAGCATTTTAGTTTTAATAGGTGTAGACATGATTTTGATGAGCGGTCTTACAACCCTAGTTTAACATAACAAGAACAATAAAAACTTAGCCAATATCAAAGCAAGTAAAACGGTTTTGGAACGGGTATGACCATAAACAACATGTCTTGGACAGTAATGGGACCATCCCGAAAACTTTAAAATTTAATATAAAAAATAAATAATAAAATCCTAAAATTGTGTCAATTACGTCAGCAATGACGCATCGTTATCTTCATTACTCAACCACTGCAACTCTCCACCATAAAAATGGCGGTCCTAAATCTTCACTTCCACTATCAGATCCCCTTTACAGCTCAGCCTCTTCATTTTCCAAATTCAAAAAATGGCCACCCCCGCCGCCGCCGGACTGCCTCTTGACGGCCGAAACGCCGTCGTCACCGGCGCCTCCCGTGGAATCGGCCGTGCGATCGCCGTCCACCTCCACTCTCTCGGCGCAAATCTTGTTCTGAACTACGCTTCCAACTCTGCGCAAGCGAATATTCTCGCGTCGGAGCTGAATCAGTCATCGACGCCGCGCCAGCGAGTTATAGCCGTTCAAGCCGACGTGTCTGACCCGGCTCAGGTCAAGCGGCTGTTCGATTCGGCTGTTGAGGAGCTTGGATCTGAGATTCACATCGTCGTGAACGCTGCCGGGATTCTCGATTCGAAGTATCCGAGTCTGGCCGGAACCGCCTTGGAGGATTGGGATGAGACGTTTCGGGTGAATTGTAGAGGCGCGTTTTTGGTGTGTAAAGAGGCGGCTAATCGGCTTAAGCGCGGCGGGGGAGGTAGGATTATTTTGATTACGACGTCGATCGTTGGATCTCTCCCGCCGGGGTACGGTGCCTACGCGGCGTCGAAGGCTGCGGTGGAGGCGATGGCGAAGACGGCGGCGAAGGAGCTGAAGGGGACGGAGATTACAGTTAACTGCGTGGCGCCAGGGCCGGTGGCGACGGAGTTGTTTTTCGCTGGAAAATCGGAGGAGATGGTGGCGAGGTCGGTGGATGCCTGCCCGCTAGGTCGGCTCGGGCAGCCCGACGATGTGGCGAAGGTGGTGGGGTTCTTGGCTACCGATGGTGGCGGGTGGGTCAACGGGCAGGTGGTTCGGGTCAATGGCGGTTTAGTAATTTGACATTTAAAAAAAGAAAAAAGGAATAATTGGCATCAACTATACGACTGACACGAATGAATGCGCATTTACATAAAAGTCTAAGCTCCAATATTTTGGATTTTTAGATATTTATTTTATTTTTATTTAATTTTATAATTATTTATTTATATTTAAAATTCAGGTACAATTTTAATACATTGTTTAAAAGGAAGCAAATAAACGTTTTACGAACTGATATTAAGGTATAATCGTGGGCCCTGTCACTCATGACACGTTCACTAGAGGAAAGCTACCAAATAAATTTATTAATAATCCTCATAGAGTAAGATTATACATTTTGGCTCAGTTCTATAGTTATTCCAGTCCCGATTTAATTTATAATGTGAAGTTACGAAAATATCCTTCAATTCCATTCTTTTCCTCCTTTTCCTTAATTTCATTTCCAATTTTTTCTTTCTAATTCTATTTAATTTTCTTTCCTTAAATTATTTTCCCAATTTTTTTTTAATCACTCAAATTCTTTCCAAATTTGGGTAGAGTTTTCATTAATTTCGCATTAAATTAAATTTATAGGTAACCATTCAATTAATTTTTCCCCTTTCTTTCTCCAAATTTTGTTGTCTTTATTTTTCCTTTTCTTTTAAAATTAATTTACATTATTATTTTTAATTTAAACTTAATTTATCTTGATTTATACATTACAAAATTACAAAAATGCCCTTTAACTACGAAAATCTCAAATTTTTATGCTACTCTGGAAAGTTCATCAATATTTTTGAAATGTAGTAGGGTAAGATTATCTTTACAAATAAAATATTTTTGAAAACTCAAACGTAATTTTAATTATGAAATTACGAAAATACCCTTCAACTACGAAAATCACAAATTTTTATCTCTTCAAAGTAAATCAATATTTTTGAAATATGGTACTGACAGTAAAATTATTTTTAAAACATAATATTTTTAAATTCAAATATACTTTTTAAATAAAATATTAATCGTGAGATTATTCAAAGTATATGTATTATTAAATCGATCTACACGTAACCATTCAATTAATTTTTTTTAAAAAATAAATTAAATTATTCTCTTAATACATAACTTGGGATGCCAAGAACATCCCTTCATCCCATAAAAAAAAAAAAAAAAAAAAAAATCAAGAACTCCCAAAACTAACAGCAATAGGAATAACAACAACCAAAATAATAATGAGCAAAAGCAAAACCCCGAAGCACATCCATTTCCTATTGCTCCTTTGCAAATCCTTTGCACTCTTCAAATCCTTACTCCCATCTCTTACATATTGTGAAGCATTCATCACATGGTGTTCAATGTCATCCATTTTCTCCCCTTGTGCTTCCACCATCACTGCCATGTCCAAGAACACCTGGTGCAACTCTAGCAAGCTTCTCTCGATCTCCTTTGCCGCCCCGTGTCGGTCCTGTATCTCCACCACCGTCTCCGCCACCTTCCCCCGCCCGTGCTCCTCTATTGCCCTCCCCAAAAACTCCTCGCCTCCGTTCGATATTATCTTCTCTATCACCTCCTCCTCCGGGTGCTCCCCCGTCACCGTGAAGTATCGTCGCTCCACTGTCTCTTTGTGCTCCGTCATCATCCTTTGTCTTAGGGTTTGAAACTCCATCATTAGCTCCTTTAGCTTCTTTCGCAGGCCGTTTGTCACCGCGATACGAGTCCTGTTTGTTGAGAATGGGAATAAATGATTGAATTTACTATGACCCATTAGCCTAAATGGTTGAATTTAGTTTCTATTTGAGACTAGGGGTTGAAAATGTGAATAAATGATTGAATTTACTATGACCCATTGACTCAAACAGTTGAATTTAGCTTCTACTCCAGCCCTATTTGTTGAGAATGTGTGAATGAATGATTGAATTTACTATGACCCGCCTGCTCAAACCATTGGATTTAGCTTCTACTCGGGTTGAATGATTGAATTTACTATGACCCACCAGCTCAAATCGTTAAATTTAGCTTCTACTCGAGTCCTATTTGTTGAGAATGTGAATAAACGATTGAATTTACTATGACCCACCAGCTCAAACAGTTGAATTTAGCTTCTACTCGAGTTTTATTGGTTGAAAATATGAATAAAGGATTGAATTTATTATGACCATCCGCTCTTGAATTTAGTGTTATGTTAAACCAATATGCATAAATTTTTTAAAAACTTCGAATTTCTTATTTTGAATTTACTACGACCCATTAACTTAAACGGTTGAATTTAGTACCTGTATATGGCAGTTCCTTCTTTGCTAGCAGAGAGCCGCTTCTTAGCATCATTAGCACGGTCCATTTCCTCAAGCTTGGAACGGATCGATCGAGCCTTCTTCAGGACGGTAACGATGTCGCCATTAATCGTCTGGCGAAGCGATTTCAAAGTTTCGGGTTTATGAGCAGATTTCGTCTCCTCATTGGCCTGCTGGAGCTTTCCAAGAATCTCTCTAATGGAACCCATCTCCAATTTCACCTTCTCAGCCTCTTCGAGGAAGAGCCCCATATCGCCATTGTCGGTATCAGACGACACCGTTTCAAGACCGGCTTCGAGGTCGATATCTTTCATAGCGGCCTTCTTTAGATCCACATAGCTCGTGAACGATTGAGTCATCAAGTCGTTCATTTTTTTCCCCTTTAAGAATTCTATGAAGAATAAAGGAAAGTCAAGATTTTGTTGAGTTTGAGAGAATTGGAAGAGGTTTCTTTGGGTTTGTGAGAATTGGAAATGTTGGAAGCTTAGTTTAAAACTAGTTGCAGAAAAAAAGTAGTCGTTGCGTTTGCTTTTGGTAACGGCTATATTTTTAAATCGCAGTTTTAAAATAATATATTTCGAAATAGCCGTTGGGTTCGATGGTTGTTGTGGAGAGTAATGGTTTTTGGGTTGGGCTTTGAGCCTCAAGTCCGAAATGGGCCCTTTAAGAGGATACTATTATATATATATTTTTTAAAAAATTAATTTTTAACCCTAAATTTTAATAAATTTTCACAAGTTTCCAAATTTCATTAAATTTTATATTCACTAATTTTAAAAAATAAAAATAAAAATTTTATTAAATGCATTTATAAAGAGTTCACTCACAAATTATATTTTTAATTCCACGTGGCATTTATTAATTAATTAATTTTTTTTTTTACGGTTGTATTCATACTACGGGTATACATGGGCGAGGTCGTAGAAATCTTTTAGACCAATCGAATTAATTAGTTAAGTTGGTGGGTTGAGTTGGGTCTTACGGAATAGGCTTTTGAGGTACTTTATATGGCTCGTGAATTTATTTATTTATGATATAATTTATTTAATATAAAAGTTTAATTTTAACATGTTATTAACATGACTTAATTTTAACATGTTATTAACATGACTTAATACTCGATTTGTATATGTGTCACATTCACACAGTAGAAGATTGCTAAAAATTATCCATTGAATTAACTTCAAAGATTCACTAAAAACTCTAGAGCCCAAAGGGATGATTTGCTACAAGGTCTAACTATTCATGCTTCAGTGAAAAAAGTCTTAACCTTTGAAAGGTTGACCGAATGTCTTATTTGAGTGATGGGTCAGTGAGGCTGATTTAAGTTGACCATTTAAGAAGGTCAACCAAAAAGCCTATAAGGTCAAATCCCCTAAGATCGACTATTCATGCTTCAGTGAAAAAAGTCTCAACCCTCGAGAGGTTGACCGAATGTCTTATTTGACTGATGGGTCAGTGAGGCTGATTTAAGTTGACCATTTAAGAAGGTCAACCAAAAAGCCTATAAGGTCAAATCCCCTAAGATCGACTATGCCTCATTTAAGTCAAACCCCTTGATTAGTTGACCAACCCTTTAAAAGGGTCAACTAAGACCAGTTTAATCTCACTCCTTGAGTGGTAGACTAAAAGACCTTTGAGGCCGACCCCTCAAGGTTAACCAAGATTAGGTGGGTCAATCCCTCGAGGAGTGGAAGATAGTCAACCCTTCTAGGATATGACGAAGATACCTTTGATATATTCAGAACTAAAGGAACTTTTAAGATAGGAAAAAACCAATCATTAGCATTCGACGCGTCTCCTTACGATCAAATGAAGGAGATCGAATAATTGTTCTTAGAAAATGTGGATATATTTAAGTATACGTTACAATCATATGATTATAAAATATCATATAAAATACGACCGAGATATCAAGAGGTATGCTATTATCCTTGATTGACCAAAAAAAAATTAAAAAATTAAAATTGGAAACTAAAAATTATCGGAAAAAATTCAGGATTAGGTGAATGTCTGTGTCCATGAATCCACAGTAACAGTTGAGATTCTTATCTTCTACCTAACTTTCCTGATATTTTCTTGTTTAAATTGCGTGGATTTTGATTCCAGACGAGACGGAGGCTGAAGAAATCTCCTCAGAGTTGCCCTAATTTGCGGCTGCAACTCTGATTTCTCTTCTTCCGCCGTCGATTTTCGTTGTTTCAGGCCGATTACAGCAGTTTTTTGTTCGATTTCTGGAGATTAATCATGATTGCTGCAATCAAGGCGGCGATCGGCGATGCCGTTCTTACTTCCATGTGGATTTTCTGTGCTTCGTCTCTTGGGGTTCTTACCTCCGTCCTGTACTCGGCCGCCGGCGTTTATGGCCTTCCGCTTCATCCGCTTCTCATCACTACTACTCTGGTCTTCCTTCTCGTTTTCATTTTCAATATAATTGGGGCTTTTTTGGGTGGCGCTAGCTTTAATCCAACTGCCACTGCCGCTTTCTATGCCGCCGGTGTTGGTCCGACCTCTCTCTTCGCCATGGCTCTCCGTTTCCCTGCTCAGGTTAGTATTTATTCTGTCTTTCTATCTCTTTGATTCTGTAATTGAGCGTGAAGTTTTGTGTGGGTTGTCTCGATTAGTTCGATTTTTCACCTGTGCTCGATAGTCTACCCTAGTTCTCAGTCCAACTAGAAGCCATTGAAATTAACACTTCCTTATACAAAATTCGGATAAACCAAAATGGATTACCTCTTAACATCAAATTTAGAAGAAAGATTTGAAACCTCATTCAATTTAGTCACTCTCCCATCGAACTTGATCAATACTTCATTGACGGTTTAGATGCATTAGATTACCTCTTAACATCAAATTTAGAAGAAAGATTTGAAACCTTGTTCAATTTAGTCACTCCCCAATTGAACTCGATCAATACTTCATTGAAATGGTTTGGATGCAATCTACCACCAAAATTCAGAGATAGATGTTTAAGAAAGTCTCAATTTTAGAGCTTAATTCATAAAAAATCTCCCCAACTCTTCCAATGCCTACTAACTTAGTGGTCATAATTGGTAACTTATAATTGGTAAGTTATTCAAGGGCCATTACAAATTATCAATCAAATGATATTTATAACAATCTCATCTACTACATCTACTACTTCAATGGTGCAAATATTCACTTTCTTGAAATGGTTCTTTCTCAATCGAATCAACTTGTAACGCATAAAATAAAAGTTAAAGTGAGTCTATCCAATTTTATGGATGAAGAATGAATGTTTGTTGAATCTTCTTGACCTTAGATCGTGTAATAGGTCCACTTGGAACATTTGGAACACGGTGATCCTTATCAGTGTATCTGTAGCGTGTCGCTGCGTTCTATTTTTCTTTTGCATGATGCTTGATTGGTTTTCCATGATTGTAAGGGATGGCCAATGGGTATTGATAGAGAAAATTCATTGATAGTTGATGTAACCGTCCAAGCCCACTTCCAAGTCTAGATATTGTCTTCGGCTTTCTCTTTTAGGCTTTCCCTCAAGGTTTTTAAAACATGTATGCTAAGGAGAGGTTTTCACACCCTTGTAAAGAATAATTCGTTCTCCTTCCCAACCAATGAGGGATCTCACAATCTACCCCCTTCGAGACTCAACGTCCTCGCCAACACTCGTTTCCCTTTTCCAATCGATGTAGGACCCCCAATCCACCCTCCTTCGAGGCCCAACGTCCTTGCTGGCACACCACCTCGTGTCCACCCCATTCGAGGCTTAACTTCCTCGCTGACACTGTCTGGCTCTGATACCATTTGTAACAGTCCAAGCCCACCGCTAACAAATATTATCTTCTATGGACCTTTTCTTTTAGGCTCCCACTCAAGGTTTTTAAAACGCGTCTGCTAGTGAGAAGTTTTCTTATAAAGAATTTTTTCTCACATCCGTTTCTCAACTTCAGAAATTATGGATTCTAAGGAACATTGATGAGCCTTCGTTTTCTCCATCTCCTCTCTCTTTATGTTTTTTCAGAGATTGGGACATCGATTAGAATAAGACATCAATAAAATGAAACAATGTTGCCTAAAATTTCTGCTTCTGTCATTTTCATTTGCCTTCTAGAATAAAAGGTTTCTAAAACAATAGTATTAGACATCAAACTTATTGTTGGCAGGCAGCTGGTGCGGTTGCTGGTGCTCTGGCGATCAAGGAGGTGATGCCTATTCAATACAAGCACATGCTTGGTGGGCCTTCTCTGAAAGTTGACATTCATACTGGAGCCACAGCTGAAGGAGTTTTGACCTTTATAATCAGTTTTGCTGTTCTTCTAATTGTTCTCAGGGGTCCCTCCAGCCCAGTAATCAAGACATGGTTGCTGGCAATGGCCACTGTAGCTTTAATCGTTGCTGGTTCTAGTTACACAGGACCTTCCATGAATCCTGCAAATGTGAGTATTCCACTGCTATTAAGCTTTATATTTTATATCCTCATTTGATGATTCTTATTGTGACTGGCAGTAAGTTGAAATTATTAAGTTATATTCTTGTTTAAACTTATATGGTTATATTATGTGGGTTAGAAATCAGAACTCTCCACAATAATATGATATTGTCCACTTTGAGTATAAGCTCTCGTGGCTTTGCTTTTGGTTTCCCCAAAAGGTCTCGAGATATATTCCTCACTTATAAACTCATGATCAACCCATTAATTAGTCAATGTGGGACTCTCTCCCAACAATTCTCTCCTCGAACAAAGTACACCATAGAGCCTCCCCTGAGGTCTATGTAGCCCTCGAATAGCCTCCCTTTAATCGAGGCTCGACTCCTTTCTCTGAGTCCTTGAACAAAGTACACCCTTTGTTTGACACTTGAGTCACTTTTTTACTACACTTTCGAGGCTAGCAACTTCTTTGTTCGACACTTGAGGATTCTATTAACATGGCTAAGTTAAGGGCATGGCTCTGATACCATGCTAGAAATCACAACCCTCCACGGTGGTATGAATCGTCCACTTTGAGCTTAAGCTCTCATGGTTTTGCTTTTTGTTTCCCCAAAAGGCCTCGTACAAATGGAGATGTATTTCTTACTTATAAACCTATGATCAACCTCTTAATTAGTCAACGTGGGACTCTCTCCCAACAATCCTCAACACGGTAGGCAATTGATGCCGTCATGATGCCATCATGATTGATGTAATGAGGGATTATTTTTTCATTCCAAGATCTTATTAATGCTTTTGAAGTAATTTGTAGACCATGGAAGTTCTTGCATAGATTGCTGGTTGCTTTGCAGCTTTTTTGTTTTATATGTAAATTGGCATTTTATATCCTTCATTAAAAAATTTCATTCATAACAATCGTAACATATCTTAGTTCATTGTACAATAAATTTGGGGGATGTTGAGCATAAATAGTATATCAAACCATCTCTGTCTGACTTGATCCTTTCAGTTCTTCGAGGTTTGCTGCTATCTTAATGTAAGTTCTCCCTACCAGCTCGAGATCGTCACAATTTTTTTTACGATACAGATTTTAGTCATTGAAAGTTCTCTTGCATGTTTTTCTGTCTTTCTACATCGGAATTACATTGCATAATTGCTAGCGGTGAGCTTGGACTGTTATAAATGGTATTAGAGCCAAACACTAGGTGGTGTGTCAGCGAGAAAGCTGAGCCCTCAAGGGGGTGGATTGTGAGATCCTACATCGGTTGGAAAGAGGAACAAAACATTTCTTATAAGGGTGTGGAAACCTCTCCCTAGTAGGCGCGTTTTAAAATTGTGAAACTGACGGCGATATGTAATGGGCTGAAGTAGACAATATCTACTAGCGGTGGGCTTGGGCTGTTATACTATATATCTCTGGTTATGTCATACAAAACCGAGGATAGCCGGAAATTCTGAAGGAGAGCCTTCGAACAACGTGGAATAAAGGGGCAAAAGGAAATAACATAGCATACTTAAACGTTATGCATTTTTTTGGCAATAAAAGGTTCTGGGGTCAGCTGGGTGCCCTGCGAGTTTAGTCAATGATATCATCTTAGTTGCTGTCATTGAAAGTAAGCTTTGTCATAGACAGTGCAAGGGCTATATATGGTGAAATATTGCTTCATTTGATTCAAAACTTGCACTACATATTCATCCCGAGACGTTTTTGGCTGCTTTGGCGCGTTCCTTGCATATAACGTTCGGTTTACGAACCAGATTAGTTATGATTTTGCTAATTCGAGACCATGAAGGAGAAGACGATATTTGTTACTTTTTATATGGTAAAAAATGCTGATTTTTTGCTTTGAAATGCAGGCGTTTGGGTGGGCGTATATGAACAACAAACACGATACATGGGAGCAGTTGTACGTGTACTGGATCGCCCCGTTCATTGGAGCCATTTCGGCTGCTTGGCTTTTCAGAATCATCTTCCCACCACCAGCCCCAGCCCCAGCCTCAGCTAAGAAGAAGAAGAAAGCTTGAAATCTCTAGTTGATTTACATAGTAGCAAGTAAGAAACTCCATTTCTGTTCTTAAGATAAATGGCGTCTGTTTAAATTATGTTTTGCAGCTTATGGATCAATAATAATCCTTCAATCAAGTTCCCTTTACTTCCCTTTTAGATCCCTTTTATATGTTTGCTGATATTTAAGGTAGGAGTATTATGATTCAAACTAGGGATTGGTATTCTAACCCGACCACCCGAGCTCGGCTCAACTAGTTAAAGTATTACCTTCGAGCACGAGTTCCAATTCCTTTGGTTCATGTAAGACTTGAAAAAGAAAATGAAACCTATCTTATTTGTTATTATCAAATTGACTTCGAAATCCTGGATTTACTGATTAATTTTGGAATAATTTGAATATGTTAAATGCATATACACGTGCATTATTATTTGACATATTTTGCATTGTGGAAAACACGAGTCAAGCTTATGAGTTTAGCGTGAATATGATTGATATTTAATATGTGATTAATATATGAGTTTGATGACTGGAATCAACGTTGAGGAGCTTAACTACTATGATCCAAATGGTGTTTAATAGAGGTTGCTCTTAAGGACTGATCGTTTAAGAGTCACAAAAGTGTAATGACGAGTATCTTGTTATGAAGATTCGTACAACGTTGTGTTGAATAGCCTAGAATCGAGACCTTAGGGTATTATGTTGAACAACCTATTATAGACACGTATTACATATATATATAAAGTGTATGAATACATTTTACCAATAGGCTAGAATCGAGACCTTAGGGTATTAGCACCAACATTTGAAAGATTAGAGATTTTTTTTTGAGATAAAATACCAAATTTAATTTAGTTTTTTCCATTGTTTTTTAAATTTAAGACACCATATCTAGATAACGGTTAACTAGAACCTTTTCTGTCTCTATCTCTGCCACCTATTTCATTCTCATTATAAAACAAATTTCCGCTTATTTCATTATCGGTATAAAATAAAATTTTTATTTATTTTTGTTGAAATCGAGTTCCATAATTTTTTTTCGGTTTATTATTATTTAAAAAATAATTAGTTAAAAATTGTCTTTTTTAATATAATCTTTCCTAAAAAATTGTAAAAATATTAATAAATCAATATATTTTGTAAGTAATGATATATATATATATATATATAATATAATCTTCTACCACTGATTTCTAAAAATTAATTTTAATATTACAATTATTTTTAATTTAAATATTATAGTAAGAATCTCATAATTAATTATAATAAAAATATATGAAATATAATAAAAAAATGATAAAGAATCCTAATTAATTAATTTTAATTAATAAAAGATAAAATTTTAATATTAAAGTTTAAATATCATAATTAACTCTACTTAAAAAAATAAAAATGTATAGAATATAATTAAAAAAATGATAAAAAATTAATTAATTTTAATTAATCAAAGATATTAATAAAAATTTGAAATGAACTAAATACAACGTTTAAGAGTATTTTTATTAATTTAGTTTTTTTCTTAAACTTAAGATACTAAAAACCTTTCTTGTCCCGGTTTTTGTCACCTATTTCATTTTCCAATAAACTAAATTAATTTCTTATTTATTTTTGTCGAGTTTCATAATTTTTCTCCGTTTATTATTATTTAAAAAATAGTTATTTTAAAATTTTCCTTTTTAATATAATATTTCTTAAAAAATTATAAAAAATATTAATAAATCAATATATTTCGTTATATCCTAATTTCTGAAAATTAAAATTTTAATATTACAATTTTTTTAATTGAAATTTATAACGAGAATAACAAAATTAACTATAATTAAAAAATAAAAATATATAGAATATAATAAAAAAAATGATAAAGAACCAAACTCGAATTCGCAACTGCTAGTTTCTGAATCCAAACTCGCCATTGTTACTTCACATTTGCTCTTCTCCCCTATCCCCTAACCACCTCCATTTCCATTTCTTCTCTTTCGACCCATTTCTTCGATCACCGCAAAGTTCCTCCATCCAAATCCCACGTCAATTCGTCGATTTCACTGACGGAATCCACTCAGATCCGTCCTCGATGCTGTTGCGAGTCAATCATTGATCAATTCATTGCGTATAATCATCGCTGTTCTTCCCAAACGGAGCGCTGGATCCGACTCCCGAACCACTGCACTCATTGAAGGCTCCTGCTGCCTCCAATTCCACTGGAAACGTTCAGATCCGTTACCGATCTCCGTCTTCCGCCGACCTTCTTGAAGGCCAAACGCCCTCTTTGTCACTTCAGGATCATCAGAAACTACTTCAGTTTGAATTTGATAAGATGCATAAGCGTCCCGGTAAGCAACAGTCGGAATCGCTGTCGAATAGGATCTACGAATACAGAGGGGTGTTATTGTTCACGTCTCTTTCGCTTTTCCTAATCGCCTTTGTTCTCTATTTCATGCCGGGCCGTGAAAATTACTCGTTCAACCACCGCAAGGTTTACCCTGATCACAGGTCGTCTTCTTCTTCTTCTAAATCCACTTATGCTGTTATTTTTGATGCTGGTAGCTCTGGGAGTCGCGTCCATGTCTTTTGCTTCGATCAAAATCTCGATCTCCTCCCCGTTGGCAAGGATATCGAACTTTTTGAACAAGTACTAATCTCTATCTTCTCCTGTATCTACATTTTCACTGTTATTCTTTGAATTTCCATTCTAGATCGGCTGTGCTTATTTTTTTTGGTGATTGTACTTGCAGCAATTGTTGGTTTTGAGTTGACTGTATTCTGTTTCTCTCGAGACTCGCTGTGCTTAAATTTGTTTTTGTTTGCTTACTTCTTCTTTAGCTTAATCCAGGATTGAGTGCATATGCTGACAACCCCAAGAATGCTGCAGCTTCTCTAATTTCCCTTTTGGAAAAAGCGGAAAATGTGGTTCCTAAAGGGCTGCGGTCAATGGCCCCTGTTAGAGTTGGGGTTAGTTGATCTTCCTCGAACTCCTTGAGCTCTGTTCTTTAAATGAAGCTATGTCAATTTTCGAAACGGTTTTTCATGTTAATGTAGGCAACTGCAGGCTTGAGGGCTCTGAAGGGGGATACATCTGACAAAATTTTGCAGGCGGTAATGATCCATGCTTGTTCTTCGGAAGCAATTTTTCACGTTCCCTTATTTCGTGTAATTTCAAGCTAAGAGATGAAAGCTTTTGTTTTCTTTAAGGTTAGGGATCTCCTGAGAGACAAAAGTGACCTCAAGTTGGAGGACAATGCTGTGTCTGTAATTGATGGAACTCAAGAAGGTTCTTACCTTTGGGTATGTCTATTATGGCTGTGATCCACTTTGTACTTTTTTTTTAATGTAGTTTGGGTTTCAGCTGCAGCTTCCTTTTAGTTCGAATCGTGGAATGTGTATTATTTGTAGTACAATAGTGTGATAATGTGATGTTCTTGCTAATATCTGATGCCATTAGAATTCAGGATAGAGTATCATGTTGCTTCCTCTAGAGCCATTTCTTTGAGACAGTCTCCTTCTAGTTACACTTTGGTATTAAGGTCAGTTATCTGTTGAATAACCTACAAATCTCCAAAGCTTAGGATGTGCTGTTCTCTCTCTATCCCCAAAGCCTTACTGTTTCTGAACTTGAGGCTATGTATGCAATGAGCTTGCGTTTAGCGTAGGTGCTGGAATAGCATAGGATGATGGAATATGCCAGCATTATAAGTTTTGTCAGTTGGAATGCTATATGGAAACGATAGTCGTGACATGAAGAGGTTGTCATTAAACTACATACGATGTTAAATTTCATATCGGTATTTAGCAGAATTTGAGACAGGAATTAGTTCAGATGTAGATTGGTAAATGCATGTAGAGTTTTGATAATCTGAACCATTCCTGGGATCTTGCATGGAGTTCTTGTGTATTAACATATTACAAGCTTGGCTATCATTTTCCAGGTGACATTAAACTATCTGCTAGGGAACTTGGGCAAGAAATATTCGGATACAGTTGGAGTTGTAGATCTCGGCGGAGGATCTGTTCAAATGGCATATGCTATCTCCGAAACAGATGCTGCTCGATTATCAGAAGCAGAGAGTGTATACATAAAAAAAATGTATCTGAAGGGAGCAACTTATTATCTCTATGTTCACAGGTATACATTCTACTCTCGTCTTGCTGAGATTGCCAGTTGATAAATTTTCCACATGGCAATACGACTCTCCAATTTCAATCTGCCTCTACTAATTCATTGATAGCTATGGTTCAATCTTGACGAATTCTACCCAAAACTCTCGTGAATTGTAACGGCCCAAGCCCACCGCTAGTAGATATTGTTCTCTTTGGGTTTTCCCTTTTGGGCTTCCCCTCAAAGTTTTTAAAACGCGTATGCTAGGGAAAGGTTTTGATATAAACCACGATCAAGGAATTTCCATACCTCAAGGTCCAATTACATGGACGAGAGCCAAGAAGCTATAACAAACCTTGTACACTTGTATTCAAGGTATAGCGAGCTCATCAAGGAAATTCTAAAAGACGTTGGAGATCTCCCTTATATGCTGTGCAAAGTTGAGCTCTAAGAAAGAGATGTATTAAATGCACTTTAGGTTGCATTTAATGAACTCAGCTAAATTTATGGAACTAGTCCAAGGATGACTAATAAGCATATTTTATTAATTGCACTATTTAATTATAATTGAAATATTTATTTGTCATATTTAAGCTAGTTTTTAATGTAGGAGTTAAGTTTATATTGTAACCCACGTAGGTTACCATATTCCACCTTAACTAGCTATTTTAATACGGAGGTTATGAGTATTTTTCAGTTACTAGCCAATTTAATTATGTGTCACATGGTTAAGGTTTTAAAGGCTATATAAAACCTTTTTTTTCTTCGTTTAGAGATCACATTTTGGAACAGGAATAACTATTCTTTTTAATTCTTTTATTCCAAAATGTGATGTCTCTAATCAAAGAAAAGAAGGCTTTATATAGCCTTTACAACCTTAACCTATGTGACACATAACTTCCGAATAAATTGGCTAGTAAATGAGAAATACCCATAACCTCCTTATTAAAATGACTAGTTAATGGGGATGGGTTACCATATAACCTTAATTTCTACGTTAAAAACTAGCTTAAATATGACAAATAAATATTTCAATTATAATTAAATAGTGCAATTATGCTTAT